GATGAGGGGAGCAGCAGGCGAGACAGGAGAGGTCTGCCATGCCATGTGGGTATCTCCCTGGCCAGCCAGCAATCGAACCTGCACTGCAGAGGCTGCTGACAGCTTCACAGCGAGGCACTCAACCCGCTGCACCACCAGGGAGGCCCCTCTCTTTCAAAGTGTTTGATATTTTGTTCAAGCTAGATTTTTTGCATTAATTTTGATGTTATTAAATATTATTTGGTCATTTGGTGCCCCTTCAATTTTGCACCCTAGGTAAATGCCTCTCTTGCCTTTATCCTAGTCCTTCACACATTTATCAGCCTCTCGTTCCAGACTATGGATGTCCTGTGAAGAGAAATGTGGATTATTTCCCTCTGTGTCTCTATAGCCTACCCAGACCCTAGCACAGAGGCTAGCACTTGGTGGGCGTCAACATCATTCTGTTGAAGGTAACAAGGGAAGAAGTTAGTGATGGGCCTCCCTGGTAGTGCAAGGGGTTAAGAGGCAACCAATGAAGCTTTCCCCAGCCACTGCAGCACGAGTTCGATCCCCGGCCAGGAAGCTATCCACATGGTGCAGCAGACTTTTCCTGTCTCGCCCGCTGCTCCCCTCAGCAGTGTATTCGGTCAGTCTGCCTGTTCTGTTCCCCACTCTGTCTCTGGTGGATACTCTTACCCCACACACACACCTCTGGCCTGTACCGCAGTTCTGGTATGCATAAATAACTAAATCTTTTTTAAAAAAAAAGTAGTTAGTGATAATGGCTAACAGTCTAATATTTATTGGGTGCTCACTATGTACCAGACATGTGTTAGGAGGGTGGATGTCGTGGGTCCGGGTGTGCACACCGCTTGAAGAGCAACAGCCACCACACCAACGCGAGAGCAAGCAAGTGTGGATTTATTGAAACAAGAGGAAAGAACTCCTGACAGCAGGAGGGGGGCCCAGGGAGGATGCCGGTTTGCTCCAGCCCTGTCTGTGACTATACACCGTCAGGCGTCTAGTTGCCCAATGTGCCAGACTATTGATTAGGTACTAGGTGGTCGGGAAGTTTCACGGTGGTTGTTTTCCTGCTCCCTAATTATCCTGTAACAGGATCTTGCTCTAGTTGGTGCCTGGCTCAGCAACATTTCAGTAAAGCACTGCTCTTTTCCTGGGAGCTGTTTTGTTCCTTCTGTTCCATATTGTCTCAAATCACTGTCCGTGTCTCAGCCTTTCCTTTTCCCAAGATCTCCTGGTCTCAGTTCCTCTCACATGGGGTTAAACATTTTACTTATTTAATCTAAAAACCCAATAATAAAGATAGTATTATGTCCACTTTACAGATGATTAATTGAGGTACAAACATTTTACTTATTTAATCTAAAATCCCAGTAATAGGGGGCCTCCCTGTGGTACAAGGGGTTAAGTCTCAGCACTGTGAAGCTCTCCGCAGCCCTGGCCAGGGAGCAACCTACATGGTAGAGCAGACCACTCCTGTCTCGCCCGCTGCTCCCCTTAGCAGTAGATTTCAATGGCTCTGCCTGTTCTACTTCCCACTCTGTCTCTTGTGAATTCTCTGACCCACCCCACACCTCTGTCCTACACCCCCAGCTCTTGTATGCACAAATAAATAAAATAAACCTTTTAAAAAAAACAATAATAAAAATAGTATTATGTCCACTTAACAGGTGATTCATTTAGGTACAAAGAGGTGAGTCAATGAGTGATTCCAGCACAACTTGCAACAGCTCTGTGATCCCCAAACGCTTCTTCTTGTTTTGGTTGTTTTTCTTCTGGGCACTGGAATGAGATGGGAGGAGGAAATGGGGAGATAACAGATGATACAACAGAAATAGATATAAAAGAAGCAGATGTAATAGGGGCCTCCCCTGGTGGCGCAGCGGTTGAGCGCTGGGCTGTGAAGCTGCCCGCAGCCTCTGCAGCACCGGTTTGATCCCTGGCCGCCAGTGAGGTCCCACAAGGCTCGCAGGCCTCTCCTGCCGCCCGCTGCTCCCCTCAGCAGTGTATTTCGTCAGTCTGTCTGTTCTGTTCCCCGCTCTGGCTCTGGTGAATTCTCTCACCCTCCCGTGCTTCTGACTGTACCCAGTGCTTGAATAAAGAAATAAATAAATCTTTAAAAACAAACAAACAAAAAAAGAAGCAGATGTAATAGATGAAATAAACTATCACACCATCTTATCAGTTATCTTACTCGAGAGTCACAACCCCAAGTATCACTAACCCCACTTTACAGAAAGGAAACAAAGACCTAAGAGGTGAAGGGGACCTGTTTGTTTCTCGCTGCTGGTTTGCCTCCCAAGCCTGGGGGTGGCGTGGGGGTGCAGTGTGCTGATGGGTCAGACAGGACAGGACAGATGGCCTCCCTCTTGGCCTCCGTGGCAAGCTGGCAACTTCCTCTGCAAACTCTCCCTGCTCAGAGGAGCCAGCCCCTCCCCCGTGGCACTTCTCCCTCATTCTGTCCCTCCCGGAGGTGGGCGTCTGCTCACCAGAGACTTCGCTGGATAAGGACCTAAACGATGTCAACATCCTCACAGAGCTGCCCTTGTCTCCCTTGCTTCAACTGACCTGCTCCCCACATTTCCTGCCTGATGGGGGGATCCCCTTGAAACACAGTGATGTAAACAGTGAAACTCACAGCCCAAAACCAGAATCTAAAATGGTCAAGAAATAAAAATAAGATTGTGTGAAGAAAATAAAATCCACAGAACTTCCTGAGGAGCTGGGACTTCAGGTGTGTCCTGCAGAGGGATGGTGGGAGGAGTCTCGGCGCAAATTTATGTGGCTGATTTCTGGAGGCCTTAAGGTCACAAGAGGGAGGAAATGTACCTTTTATTGTTTACCTTTCTACAGTGCTTTAATTTTAAGCATGTGTCTATTTAACTTTTTTCAATGAAAGAAAACATTCTTAAGCGGCCCGCCCCCAGGCTGAAGTGGCCTGCCTGAGGCGGCAGTCACCTTCCTGCAGTAGCCATTTCCAGGCCTGCCTGGAGCCCAGGGCAGGGAGCTGCAACCGTCCTTCTTGCCAGAGAACAGTTCAGTGTGTGACACATTAGGGGTGGGTCTCACATCCTATAGATGACATGCACCTCCAAATTAGGCAATTAATTATTCCAAGGACTCAAAGTCATGTTTCAAATCAGAACCAGCTTAAGTAAAATTGGGTGAGTAATTTGTTTCGGGAGCCTGGAGCACACACCATGGGTGCCGCTTCTCTCAAGAACCCCAGGCTGGGGTGTGTGTGTCAGGATATGTCCAGGAAGAGAATCGGGAGAGAATGGAGACTGTGAGTCCAGCCTAGCTCTCAGGATGTGCTGGGTCCTGACTGAAGCTCAAGGGCTAGGCCAGGCCAGCATCACACCCAGGAGTGAGAAATGAGGGGCAGCACCCCACTCTCTTCAATTGGAAAGGCCCTTATTCTGAGAAAGACAGCTGTGGAATAAGGCAAAAGATAAGAATGAGCCGCAAGGGTCTGTGAAAGGCCTAAAATAGATGATCCAGGGAAACTCACACCTTTCTTTAGGAGTTAGCTCCCAGGCAGACTCTCCAGTGTGAAAGAAAAGGAGTTGGGGGTCCGGGATTCTGCTGCTGGAGTTGGGAGAGATGGGCACCTCACCAAGGGCTAGCAGCTGCCTCCCTTTCTGCTCCTGTGGGAATGTTCTTCCTTCACTGTCACCCTGACCAAGAGGAGCTGGGAGTTCTTCTCAGTGCTCTGCTGGCATGTCTCTCCAGTTTCCGTCTCTGGAAAACCTCTAGCCTCTTTCTGAATATCTCCAGCCTGTCTTAGGGTCTCAAGTTAGGAAACAAAATCCCTCCTTATCCAGCTGTTAATCCACAAGTGGTTTCCCATGCCCTCCCCCATTCAGAACCGAGCTGCTCAGATCTGCTCACCCACACCCTTTCCTTGGGGGCTTAGGGGCTTAGACATACAAACTCATTTAAAACATACCCAAACAAAATTAAAACAGAACTAGCGGCCCTTTATTGCAGAATTATCAGCTGCTTAGAGTCAGCCATTACTGAAAAAGACCCAAACCACTGCATCCCAGAGCCTGGGAGGTGGAGACAACAGGTGGGCAGTTCCACAGCCCCAGACGCAGGGGGGGGGGGGGGGGAGGGGGGGGAGGTTGGGAGCCCGAGGTGGGGGGGTGTAATTCAGAGCTTGGGTTTCGTGGCCCAATCTACCAGGATTCTCACTCCAGCCCTGCCACTACTCTGTTCAACGGTTCTCAAAATCCATCGTGCACCAGAATCACCTGGAAGGCTTAAAAACAAAAACAAATAAACAAAAACCCTCACAAGATTGCTGTACCCCATATCCAGAGTTTTGGTTTGTTTAGGTCGGGGATAGGACTCAAAAATCTGCATCTGAAACATGACGCCGTGGACAGGCGCTTCGGGGACCGACCACTCTCAGGCTGTGCCTTGAGGCGCCTCCCGCGCGCGCTCGGATCGTCGCTGCAGGGCTGGGGGTGACTTCAGACCTGGCCTGTGAAATCCTCGGCAGGGTTGGTGGCACCCAGTTAACAACCGCTCTGGTCGAGGAGAGGGGGAGAGTCACTTGCCCAGATCAACCTGCCAATGAGAAGCAAGCCCGGCGCAGCCGGGGACTCCCCTCGCCGGCCGCCCGCTCTCCAGCACCGCAGCCAGCGCCCAGCTCCGCGCGCCCCGACGAGCCCTGCGCGCCCCCGGCGGCGCCACGCGCAAACCTCTCCTCGGTCGTCTTTGGGGTGACTAGGACCCTGCAATCTTTTCCAGCGCTGAGAAGCCGGCCGCGGAAACTGCACCCTCGGGTGGGCTGAGACCTGGAGAAGCGGGGACCCCATCAGCGGCGGCGAGGGCGGGGTGCCTGCGCCGAGGGACGCCCCCCACCCTGCGCCCCGGGGCGCGGCAGGTGGCCGGCGGCACCTGGCCGGGGCGGGCGGTAGGGCGCGCCCCAGCCGCGGAGCAAGGCCCGCCCCCGCCCCGCCCTCCAGGATGTCCCGTCGGAAATCGCAGGAGCAGCGCGGCCGCGCGGCCCCGGCTCTATCTCGGTGCCCCAGGTAAGTGGCAGAGGCTGCCCCCGACCCTCGCAGGCCCCAGACCCTTCCCTCCTCCCCCCGCCCCCGACTGGGAACCCACAACCCCAGCACTTCTGAGACTTCCCTCCAGGCCTGCTAGCTGGTGCTCCCCACCTCGCCGCCCCCCACCGCCTCCTCAGCGGCCCCCGCCCCCCCAAGTAACATGAAGGGGCTGAGCCAGAGTGGCCCCAATCTGTCCTGATGGCCTCTAGAGCCCCCTCGGGAGGACCCCTCCCCCTCTGCCTTTGCACCATCCTTAAAGGATGAGAGAAGCTCAAAGCCAGAACCTGGAATGAGTGGAGAGGGAGAGGGACCCGCCATAGCAGGCCCTCTGGGGCTCACAGCCTCCTCTTCACCCACCTAGACCCCACAGTCCTTCTGTGTCACCTCCCACCCCCTCCCCCATTGGACCCCCCATGTGTGCTGGTGCAGGAAATCCTTCAGAGAAGTTTCCTCCTGCCAGTGCCACGTTGCACCTGAGCTGCAGAGACGCCACCCTGGTGGGAGTGGGGTCTCGGCCTGCGCCATCATCCTTCCTCTGGAGCTGGGGCTTTTGGTGGTGGGCAGGAGCTGCATGGTCTTGTGAGGAGGAAATGAGACCCATGTTCATGACTATGACTCTCACCAACTTCCTGATTTATCTGTCACTTATTCCAAGCTCCAGGCTAACCAAAAAGAGAAACGGTCGGTTACTTTCCCCCAGAGCAAGTTATCTCAGATCCTGGCCTTTGCAGAGGATAGGACAGGGAGCTCCTGTGTGGGTGGAGGTGGGGTGGGGGACAGTTTGCCTGCATAGCTTAGAACAGGCCCCCCCCCACCTTTCCCACCAGCCTATTGCAACAACCCCAGGAAAGGTATTAACACTGTGCTCTCAGCTCACCTCCAGGTCCACAAGCACAGTTTGCAGGCACTGGATGAGGGCTCTGGACACCCGAAAACCTGGGGCTTGTGATCATTTTACCAGAGATGTGCGTGCACTTCCCAGGCATGTTCTCCCCTCCAACAGATGAACCGGGTCCCTCCTTATCACGGGATGGGTAAGAAGGATCGGACAAGTTCATGTGATGAGTAGTACAAGCCAAGGTACAGGGTTTGAAATGTGCCTCGGCTCAGGTTATTCAGCAGAAGCCGGAATCATTGCGGGCACTTCCTTAGTTCCTGTATCTCAATGATGCCAGCGATGACAAACAAAAACTACTCTCAGGGGCACCGGGGCTGAAAACAGGGCAGAAGTAGTCTGAGGCTGGTGGATCCTGAAGGATACAGGGCTGCCCCAGATGGCCTCATCTGTGCTAATCATGGCCCACAGAGGCAGGACAGCTAACTTGCCCCCACGGCAGCGTGGAAGAACTCAGGCCTGAAAAGTGGAGGCCCTGGGGTTTGTCAGATGCCCTCTGAGATCAGAAGCATCTTAGTCCAAGTTCGGTTGTGAGAAACCTAGGCAAGACATGTGACTTAGTGCACATAGCCATGGCCCAGAACAGAAGTCAGGGGCAGTTACGGCAGCTAACCCCAAAGCCAAGGCCTCCCAGTGCAGGGAGGCAGTGGGTATAATGGAGATAGGCAGCTGACTCAGCTGTGTTGCTAATTTGGTTGTACAACCTTCACCAGATCACATAAACACTCCCTGGGTGGGGAGCAAGTGAGTTGGTGTATATGAAAATGCTTGGCGAAGGCCCAAGCCCCAGCCAGATGCATGTGGTGTCATGGTTAACCCTGGGCTTTGGGGAGAAGTGAGCCTGAGTGTAAATTCTGCCTCTGCTGCGTCTCAGCTGTGTGGCTCTAGTCAAGTTACATAACCTTCCTGTGCTTGGGTTTCCTCTGTGAAGAATGAGGAGGTAACTGGTACTTAATTTCTCCTGGTAAGTAGTAATAGCAAAAATGGTGATGGGATTTGTAAGGCAAGACGTGTAAGGAAAGGGGGGGGGGAATAGTGTGGGTGTCTGTGCACTGGGGGACCCAGGGATAGCCGTGCCCCCAGCCTGGGTTCACCCAGCTCTTCATACAGCCCTCTGCCCGTCTGTGGGAAAACGCGTGTCTTCATTTGATGGGAATGAGAGTGAGGATTTGAACAGAGGTCAAGTGCAGGGCAGTGCCTGTCTCCATGCCCAGCTCAATGCTGTAATTGTGCTGCGTAACAGGCAAACAAGGATGGGTTCAGTCTGGGGAGAAAAAGGACTGTTAGAAGACTCTTTTGTGGCACCGGAGAACCCTGTGGGGTCAGGTTGTTCCCCTGTACCCTGTGCAACCTGGTCCTGAGCCCTAGGTAGAGGTTTAGGGTCTTGTTTTTGTATTTTGATAAGAGAAAAAGCCACATAGTAGTTTAATAATAACATGTATGAGTCCTGTATTCTGGGAGAGCCCCAGCATGCCTAAGTAAGTGGCCCATGTGGGCGCAGATGCTATCCTAGGGGGCGATTTGAAGAAAGGAAGAAGCCAATCTTCACCTTCAGTTCTGCATGCAAGAGAGAACCGAGGCTGAGACAGGGCAGCGGAATAGCGTAGCAGGGACCTCAGGGTAGAGGGATGCTTCAGGCACTGGGAGACTAAATAGACCTGTCAGGGAAATCACTGAAGACCAAGATTTAAGGATTAGGAGGGAAGAAAAAAACAGGATCTAGGTGCTTCATGTCTGGGCCTTTTGGCTCTCCCTCCCCATGTGATGGGGTAGTGGAACTTGGAAACAAACACACCGGGATACTGAGGGCAGTTCAGATGCACCTTAGTCTAAGAAGGCTCTGTGGAGGAGGGGAGTTTCTTGTGAGAATTTGCAAGAGAAAAGCAACATGGCTCAAGTAGCAAGAATGTAAAGGAAGAGTTCAAGGAGGGAAAGCTAGCCAGGGAGGGAGAGGAGCAGGTAGGAGCAGACTGCCCAGGACGTGGCTGTGCGGCAACCACATGGCGCTCCAGGACTAGGGAGACATGGCTGTGGCTGATCTGCAACAGGGAGAGAGGCCTGAGGCACCTAGGCTGGCAGGACTCTGCTCATCCTCCAGATGTTGGGCAATAAGACTGAAGATTCAGATGACGGTCTTGAGAGTAAAGAGGCAGGGGAAGATCCAGGAGATGGGGAATGAGTCAGCAGGACTTGGGAGCGGGTGTGGAAGGAACCTGACATTGAGAAGAGATTAGAAATACATGCCTGAGAGTGGGCAGGGGCAGGGGCTGCTTCAGGGATTTCCATGCCACTGGCAGTGATGAGGAAATTGGGAAGACAGGCTAACTTGGGGGGCAGGACACAGACCCTGAGTTTAGGGTGTGGCGTTTTGAGTATCCCACGGCCCTGGGTAGAGGCCTTGCGGCCAAGAGCAGACTGGGGTGAGGAGAAAAGGAAAAGCCGGTTCTGTCCCTGCCTTTCAACTCCTCTCCACAATTTGGAGACCAGCCAGGCGTTCGGGATTCCCCTCCACTAATTCCCCTTCTGGCCTCTTCCTTCCCTGACCCTCGAGCAATAGGTGATAAGACTCATTCAAGTTCCTTTTCTTTGCCTTCTCTCCGACCCAACCTGATCTTCGTGGTAGCTCCTATAGCTCCTAGGTGACTCAGGAATCCCTCCTCGAGCAGCCTGGGCACCTCCTTTGCTGGTGGATTCCTGGAGGCCAACAGTCTGGGGGGGGGGGCTCTCCAGCACAAACCCTGCATGCTGAGCTTCCCTTTGCTCACACATTACCTGCATTTAGTGACCTTGCGAACTTGGAATAGACCAAAAACTATTCGCTGAGCACAGATTATATGCCAAGCACTGTACTGGGTATACAGCGTGAGCAAAACTGAGTTGGGTTTTTCAACTGAAAATCTGTGTTTGGGTAACTTAAACTTAAAATACTATGGGAACAGAATATAAACCTGGGTACGGTAGGGAAATAGTTGATAGGCTAGTGACAGAAATAACTTTTCTGGGAAAAGAAGCCACGGTACCACCATCCGTCTTGGGGCAGCTGAAGAGTCTTGAAGGTGTAATTATGGGGAAAAGCGAAACCCTCCCAGCATCGTCATCAAAAGGGTCAGAGGTGGAAGGAGGGGTTTGGAGGAGCTAATTTGCTGCTCTGTTCACAGCATGAGAAGACAGGAAGTGAAGTAAGCGCTGGGTTTGATGGTGAGAGAGAGTGAGAAAGTTGCTTCAAGGAAGAAAGGCCGAATCACGTGTCTAAGACAGCCTCAGCCCTCCACCCTGTCGGCAGCTTCACGTTGACCTGCCCCCACCACGTGATGTCTAGCTCCCCGCACCTGCTCCCTCCGTGGAGTGGCGACAGCCAACCCTTTTCGAAGAAACCTGTAATTGAGCCTCAGTCTGTCTGGGGAACTTGAGCAAACATCTCTGTGGTGATGTCGGCCTGCTGGCTTCCTGGCTGCCACGTCTCCCTTCTCCGGGAGGAGAGCGGCTCGCTAGCAGGCAGGAAGAAACGCTGTTCCAGGGAGGCCACCTGGCCGGCGAGGGCTGTCCCGGGTCACTGACCCTGGTTTCACTAAAGCCGAAATTTTGCCAGGGAGTCCGACTTTGGCATCTCTAAAGCACTTGTAGTCCTGGGTGGGAGTCGGGGTGGGGAAGTGGAATGGAATGAGGAAGCCTCAGAAAAAACAGCCCTGCCCCAGCTCATGAGAGCTACACTCCCCGCTGACCCATGAGAGCTACACTCCCCACTGACCTCCCAGGAGGAGGTACTAGTGTGGGGACAGAGCTGTGGACCAGGCGTGGGGAGCCCAGTAACTGCTGGGTCGGTCACCAGCCGCATGGCCCTGGAAAAGCCACTCACCTCTCTGCCCTCACCTGTAAAATGGGGGTGCTGGACTCGAGACAGACCCACACAGAGTGGCCAGCACATCACGCCGTTTAAGTATTTGTTGTAAGTCCACGGAAAGCGTCACTTAGTGGAGGCTGCAAGGTGGACAGTGCTCGCCATGGGAGCTGGGAATGGTCACTTTAACCGCTTTGGCCTCATCCCTGTTTACAAGCCTGTGGGACCCCGACTACCTAAAAAGCT